GCATCAATTGAAAATCTGTAAATCTGACCCCAGTGTCGATTTCCAGCCGATATATCAATTCTCGGACTGCGAGAAGTAACTCATTTTGTCTCCACCTCTCACAAATACTTCGGTCCGGCAGCATATTTTTGAACGAAAAGATAGTGCAGGGTGGGTGTGGGGAACAAGATACTTACGTCTAACAGCAGCATATTTGTAAATGATGACATAAACACTTTGCAGTCACACAGCCAGCAGAACAAAATACCCCATGTGGTCACCCAGCCAGGACAGCGACTGCAACAGACTTCTCAGGCCTGGCGCAGAAATCCGCCACTTGACTGAAAGGGACAATTTTCACTGGCACATTATTGCGCAAAGTGACTGCAAAGTGTTAATTAAGGTTTAAAAGGAAAGGACTTACTTTGAAGTGGTCTGGGACATCTTTTTGATTCAGGGGAAAAGCTCTAACGAACTTGAAGCTCTCAGCAACCACATACACTGGCTTGTTCATCGACTTTGCGGTGATGGCAATAGGGTAGGTACCAATCTGCCAAAATAAGAAATAATCTTTCAGCACGTGTGTGCATGTGTGAGTATTCGTGTCACGACGTGGTGGAATCAGGTGTTCGTAAATTTTCGGCCATGTGGAATTATTGGTATCATCCTAAAGCCTTTTCATTTGTCTCGCTTTTGACCAAAAAAATTACCAATCTATTTGAGTAGAAGCCATATTTGCAAATGAAGGAGGTGGGGGTCCCCCAGTAACAGAGGTTGTTGTTGTTGTTTTCAAATCCCTTTAGCTGCGAGCATTTCGCTCTTGGCAGCGCAATGCCTCCCTCAAGTAACCACATGTCCTTGTCATCTAGTCAGCTATGTTACAAAGGCAAAGTTAGTGAGAAAATGGCCGCCAAAGTTCGATGACTTCCAAAGATTGATAGTCCTTGGAAACGGCAATTAGACAGTTTTTGAGCCTTTCATCAATATTTCCCGTTAAAATCTACACTTAAATGTGTCTTTAAATGAACATAAAAGATGTTGAGCCAAAAAAAAAAGAAAATTTGATAAAAATGTCCCCACTGCCATAAAAATGCAGATTTCGTTGAGTTCATTATTTTGACGAGCGCCTGATTTCACCACGATGCCTCACATTTGTGTGCACATGTGTCTTTGTAAATTGTGTCTTTCTGTGAATGAGTTTATATGTGTCAGCAATTACATGCATACATTAGCTCACAAGCAAAAAAGCCAGAGAGTCACAGGATCCGCTGTTGAAATATTTGCTTTCTGACAAGTATGCCGACGTACAACATTAAAAAATTCCGGACTTCCACTTACATGTTTAGAAATAATTATAGTGACGATAAGCTTCACTCTTTATCTCCGGGAAGCCGCTCCCAGCGGCTCGCGGTTGAAACTGCAATGCCAGTGAGCCGCTGACAGCCTCTGAGGCACATTCCTTTACGAAGACTTCGACATCAAATTACTTTTCGGCAATTGCCGAAAACAGGTTTCTTTTACCAGAAGTTCATTCATTGGATGAAGTACTATCATAATACTTAGGTTCGCTAGTTTCGATTTAATGATCCATTTAATGACGTTTTTGTCACTTTTAGATTTAGTACCAAAAAAGATTCCTGGCGTGGTGGGTTTACCCCCCTCGGAGATAAAGAGCTAAAGAAAGTGATTGTTGAATAAACATACCTTGTTGATGATGCCTCCGCTCTCGACCACACCCTCCGCCCCCAGCATCACCAGCTGTACCCGCTCCATGATGTACCTGCAGATACACGCGACAACCAACAGACATGAGACAACAGGTTCAGATTGACACAACAAATGATAATTTAGTGCCGGGTAAAAATTAAGACTTTGTGAGGCAGCGTGGTGAAATCAGGTGCTCGTCAAAATAATCAAAGTGAAGAAACTGGCATTTTCCACAGGTTTGTGAATTTTTATTTTTTGGCTAAACACCTTTCATACCCATTAAAGAACACATAACTGTGTGGATTTACTGAAAAACGTTGATTAAAGGCACAACAAATGTAAATTTCATTTCCCAAGGACTCTCAAGTTAAGGAAAATTTTTATAACTCAACTTTGGTGGCCATTTTCTCACTAATTTTATCTCTGAAACCAGGTGATCCTCACCTCCTTCATTCGCAAATATCTCGACTTCTACTCAAGAAAAATGAGTATTTTTTTCATCCAAAGCAAGACAAATGAATGAGCTGCAAGATGATACCAATAACTCCACATGCCAGAAAATTGACGAGAGCCTGATTCCAAGTCGTGACACAAAAAATAGAGGGGAAGAAAAAAAGACTTTGTGGTGGCATCCGTCAGCCACTCACGAGAGCAGATGGGTACCTTAGTAAATCTTTATTTTTAAATCTCCTTAATCTATTTTTTTTTTCATTTACATTTAAGAAATGTGTAGTTCTACTCCTCCAATGTTCTCTCTGTGTTGTTTCTGTTTCTCTTTCATCTTTCCAGCTCTTAATGGCAAAAAAAAAAAAGAAAGACACTACATCCTTCAGCACTGCAGGACACACAGGGCCCTGACACAAGAAACGTGGCCAACCCCACTGACGCTACAGGAGAAGCTATACGGGCCGATAGATGAACTGAGCAGGATGGGCCAATTTATGACAGATACCAGACTTCAAGTGTGATGCAATCGAGAAGAAGAAGAAGAAGAAAAAGAAGAAGAAGAAGAAGGAGAAGGAGAAGGAGAAGGAGGAGGAGGAGGAGGAGAAGGAGAAGGAGAAGGAGAAGGAGAAGAAGAAGAGGAAGAAGAAGAAGAAGAAGAAGAAGAAGAAGAAGAAGAAGAAGAAGAAGAAGACAGACGGTGGCTGAAATACCATGCCCAATTAAACAGCTACAGTTTAGCGAGGATCTACTCACCCGACGGCAGCGTCCAAGATGACTGTGGTGGGGATACCGTGCTTTGTCAGCTCCTCCTGAGCACCGTACCTGTCAACAAAACTGTCAGATATCACATACCTCTCCAATACAGTTTGCTTCTAAAATTGTTTCTCCAATTGAAGACATCATTGGTTTCCAGCTAGCTTCTCCAGCATAATTTTTTTATGGTTAACAAGTTTCGAACATTCTTTCTTGGGGTCATTTCGTACCCCCAGGGTTTGTATTCTTCACATTTTAGAATCCTTCTAGTGCGAAGATCTATTTGAAATTTCAGTATTACTCAAAAAAAACATTTTGACAGACTGCTATGCAAAGCGTACGGATCAGATTAACGAGTTAATTTCCTGTTTGGAAAGAGGCGGCACAGCATTCCCCACGTCGTATGGATACGATAGTAAAACACGACGTACGGATAGGGTTAAGTGGCGGCGCAGAGTTCCCCACGTCATATGGATTCGATAGTAAAACACGACGTACGGATAGGGTTAAGTGGTGGCACAGAGTTCCCCACGTCGTATGGACACGATAGTAAAACACGACGTACGGATGGGGTTAAGTGGTGGCACAGAGTTCCCCACGTCGTATGGACACGATAGTAAAACACGACGTACGGATAGGGTTAATTGTTTCTCCAATTGAAGACATAATTGGTTTCCAACTAGCTTCTCCAGCATAATTTTTTTTTTTTTTTGGGGGGGGTTGACCAGTTTTGAACATTCTTGCTTCAAAACCAGAGATAGCATCTTAAGCCAGTAGCTTGTTCTACATGGCTCAGTATCCACAAGACTGTAAAAGAATACTGCTATAAAAAAGACAACTCTTCTATCACTTACGTCTATTATATCTTTCACCAAGACTTTCTTTATATAAAATGGGAAAAACAGCCTGACATTGGGCAAAGTTCGGAATTACCTTTATCTGGAAAATTGGCACTTTCGTATTAAAAAATGCAAAACTTAAAGCTGAAAACCAATGACAAGTAACATATCTGAGTAACACATTATCTGAAGCTAAAGAGGACAACAAATAGGAATGTCCCAATAGATTACTAAAAGCAGAAAAGAAATCTACAGTATATTTTACTGTAAAGACAAGATGAATTATAAACAGTCATCTTATAAGGACCCTTATGGTAATCTGAACCTGAACTTATATAAACATAAAAGTTTCATGTAAAAGATTAAAAAGTATATTAATTATTAGCTTAGAGGGAGAGAGAGAGAGAGAGAGAGAGAGAGAGAGAGAGAGAGAGAGAGAGAGAGAGAGAGAGAGAGAGAGAGAGAGAGCGTGAAATGTGTGTGTGTGTTTGTGTGTGTGTGCGTGGTGTGCGTGTGCGCGCGCGCGTATGCATGAGGGAGTATGTAGTCATATGAATGTGTGCGTGTGGGTGTTGAAGATGCGTGTTTGAGTGTTCAGGCAAGTGTACGTGCTGATTGTTGTAAAACACAACCAGGGAGCACGCTATGAACAAAACGAAGTCTGTCTTTGGTAAAACCCCAATTTAGTTTTGTTTTAGTAGAGGTTTTACGGTGCTCACAACTGCATAAAGTCATATGAGCGCCAGAAGATTAGAGGAGTTACAAGAGAGTAATAAAAATAAAAAAGAAGACGGGGAGATAAGGACGACAGATGTTTTATAAGAAAGAAGAAGCAAACCACACCAGAGCACCCGCAAACCACCCACGTAAAACCCTAGTCCCGTCATTTTCTAATCTTCAGTCGAGACAACAAACAAACAGGAGATGCACACACCCACTCTGGTCCGGATTAGATTCCGTGACATAAACCGTGAATCTCTTATTCTCTTTCGCTGCAGCCTTCAAAACTTGCATGACCACTCGTGATCGACAGTGCGTCAAAATAGTCTGAAAAGAAAGAAAGAGAAAAACCTGGGATAATTAAAGAGTCGGTCCTTGGGTGCAGACTTGACAACCCTCACTCACTGTAAAACATGTATGGTCGCTTTTAAGCACAAGGGAGCTATCCCGAAAAATGCTGTTTTGAAAAAATCGAAGGTAAAGTTTCTGCCCCTTGTTCAGTTTCTTTAAAAGACAAGGAGAGTTTTCTCTGTAACCAAACAAATATACACAACGATGAAACCAAACTTCTCCTATAGGAAGGGCAATGCCCACTTTTGGTGTAAGTCAAGATTTCTAGAAACCCCTGAAATCTGGGTTAGCCCGCTTGTCCTTAAAAAGCGACCATATTACAACAACTGGCTTCAGGAGAAAAAAAGAAATAAGAACACACAACTTGCGAAATGTAGACATATCAAAATACACCCCCCCCCCCCCTCCCAAAAAATACCATGCAGAAAGGCTTTTTAAAAAACCCCGATATTCAGATCAACTAAATGGTCTGACATTCAACTCTTGCTTATCACCAGTCAATACCTACATATACTGCACAAACTAATCAATCTATGTTTTATGAACACTCAAATATCCTCACTCTCAACACTCACCGCTCCATCATCAATAAATCTTGTGGCCATTTGCACTGTCTTACTCCTCGCTTTCAGAATCTCCTTGAGAAAGATATTTGCTCGCTCCAACATCACAGTTTTGAAATTCTGAAACAGGGTTAAAAAAAAAAAAACCCAATCTTAACAACAGACACTCCAACTGGTTGATGAGAAAAGGAGACTAGACATTTCAAAGAAAGATACTTGTGACACGATGGGGTGGAATCAGGCGCTCATCAATTTGGGGGAATTTGGAGATATTGGTATCATCTTTGAGCCTGTTCATTTGCCTTGCTTTTGGTGAAAAAATATCCATTTCTCTTGAATGGAAGTCGAGATATTTGTGATTGAAGGAGGTGAGGTTGCCTGGTTTCAGAAGTACAATTAGTGAGAAGATGGCCACCAAAGTTTAGTGACTTCCGTAGCTCAAGAGTCATTGGAAATTGCACATTTACATTTTTCGTGCCTTTAATCAACGTTTTTCCATAAAATCCACACATAAGAATGTTTTTGAATGGACATACACGGTGGTAAGCCAAAAAACAAAAATTCGAAAAAAATTCCAAACTGGCCAAAAAATGCTGATTTCTTCCATTTCTTTATTTTGACGAGCGCCTGATTTCACCATGAAGCCTCACATTTATAAATACGCCATTAAAAAGTTTGGCAAAGTTTGATAAGTCTTTAAATGCTTGTCGTAAAAATTCCATGGACTTGGGTCAAGGTGAAAACATACATAAAACTCCAACAGACTTCTTGTCCACGGAACACCTCACTGACCTTTCCACACCCAGCCATTTTTGTGCACTCCCTAACCCCAGTCCCAGCCAATACAGCAGTAGTTCAGAAAAAGAGGCAAGCATTATAAAAAGTGATATAGTATCTTTGTAATGGGATTTAGATAATAACGTATAACAGTGTTTAAAGGTAAATGAACGAATATTATGAAAATTAAAGTTTAATTAGGTTCGCTAATTTCCAAAAATGCTTAAATTCGGTAACCCCCACAACTGAGAATATACGCTCTTGGGACGGTGGGTGATACATACTGACAAGAGAGACATTTCAGGATCTCGACCCTATCTGGTTGAACAGTGCTGTCAACAGAGGTGGCCTCACCAGCCAGTTTGTCAACTTTTCATTTCCTTAAAAGCCTGCTTGGCCACGGCAGTAATTCTATGTGAGTGAAAAACAAACAGTCAAAAGACACTTTTCAAACACAAATTGCACAGCAGAATCGTGTTTCTTGACGCTGTCGGGTCTATAGGCTACAAAAGAGGACCGCGGTTGAATCGCAAGCCACGCTGTTCTGCCAACTTAATGCTCGTCCCAAGGATGGTGGTATAACAAGGCTTTTTAGTCTTAGTAAGAGTTTTATGGCACTTGCAAAACAATAAGGTCATAGAAGTGCCGAAGAATAGATGTTACAAGAAAGTAAAATACACAAAAAAGAAGGAGGGGAGAAAAGGACGACAGATGATTGATTGGAAAGAAGGAGCAAACCACACCAGAGCACCCGTCAACCACCCACATAACAAAGTTTGACAGTACATGCAAATTACAGACATAATGTAACAAAACTGTACATCTGTCATCTGACCAGACTCATTCGACTCACCCTATCCAGATTTGCGAGTGACACATTGCGCAAAAACTGCTCACAGCCAGAGCTGACTGAGGCATAGCTGTACTCTCCGGTCAGCATCACTTCTGTCGCATTCTTTATGTTGTCTCTCAGCTCAGAGAGTGTCCCGGCTGAAACAAAGTTGATGGGAAAAAGATATGATATATGATTCGCTTGATCTGAAACAAACGCTCAAACTTATTTTTTCTGTACAATTACGACAAGTCTTAGTTTTAGTTTTAGGAAGTGTTTTACGGAACTTGCAACACAACAAGGTCATACAGTGCCGAAGATTAGAGGTGTTACAAGAGAGTTATGAGCATGACATTGTTGAATCAGCCCATTTACAATTCTACTGTGCATTAGAACAAGTTAACGTTCCCCCTTTGGGAATGGCCTAAAGACATTTC